ATGCTTTCTTCAAAATTCCGCTGGGATGTCCTGTCTGTGCTTCCCACTGACTTCCTGTATCTGAAATTTGGGATCCATACTCCACTTGTGAGAATCAATCGCTTCCTACGCTTTCAACGACTTTTTGAGGCTTTTGACCGGACGGAGACCCGCATTCCGTATCCAAACGCTTTCCGTATATGCAAGCTCATGGCATATATCTTTGTAGTGATTCACTGGAACAGTTGCATTTATTTTGCCTTGTCCAGTTATGTTGGATTTGGCAAAGACGAGTGGGTCTATCCCAACATCACAGACCCTGAGTTTGGCCGTTTAGGACGACAATATCTGTATAGCTTTTACTTCTCCACCCTTATTCTTACTACCGTTGGGGACATTCCTGCACCCATGCAGGAGGAAGAATACATCTTCATGGTGGTAGATTTCCTCATTGCTGTTCTTGGCTTTGCCACCATCATGGGGAGCATGAGCTCCGTCATCTCGAATATGAACAGTGCCGACGAGGCCTTCTATCCAAATTATGACCTTGTGAAGTTATATCTAAAGATGTACAAGGTCAATAGAACAGTAAAAAAAAAGGTGATTGCATGGCACCAGCACCTCCAGATCAACAAAAAATTAACTAACGAGAACAAGATTTTGCAGAATCTGCCTGAAAAGCTTAGGGTGGAGGTTGCAGTAAGTGTTCACATGCCAACACTTAGCAAGGTACAGATTTTTCAACACTGTGAAAAGAGTCTCCTGGAAGAACTTGTTCTAAAGCTGAAACCTCAGGTCTACAGCCCTGGGGAGTACGTCTGTAAGAAAGGGGACATTGGAAGAGAGATGTATATCATAAAGGAGGGCAAATTGGCTGTGGTGGCCGATGATGGAGTCACTCAGTTCGCTGTACTTGGAGAAGGAAACTATTTTGGAGAAATCAGTATCCTCAATATTAAAGGTAAATAAAAGCCCATCTGAATCTATCACTCTACTTCAGCTAGCCAAAAATGTTAATACAGACAGACAAGGGCACTGGGTAGTTTAGGACACAGAAAGGAAGGCAGTCAAAGGCAACAAAGACACTAAAACAGAGGAGAGCCAGCACAGGACTGTAGACATTACAGACAGGAAGAGGAGGGCAGACGTGGGACTGGAGGTATTAAAGACAGGGAGAGGAGGGCAGACATGGGACTGGAGGTATTAAAGACAGGGAGAGGAGGGCAGACATGGGACTGGAGGTATTAAAGACAGGGAGCATAGGGCAGACATGGAACTGGAGGTATTAAAGACTGGGAGAGGAGGGCAGACGTGGGACTGGAGGTAGTAAAAACACGGAGAGGAGGGCAGACGTGGGACTGGAGGTATTAAAGACCGGGAGAGGAGGGCAGATGTGGGACTGAAGGTAGTAAAAACAGGGAGAGGAGGGTAGATGTGGGACTGGAGGTATTAAAGACAGGGAGAGGAGGGCAGACGTGGGACTGGAGGTAGTAAAAACAGGGAGAAGAGGGTAGATGTGGGACTGGAGGTATTAAGGACAGGGAGCGTAGGGCAGACATGGAACTGGAGGTATTAAAGACTGGGAGAGGAGGGCAGACGTGGGACTGGAGGTATTAAAGACAGAGAGAGGAGGGCAGATGTGGGACTGGAGGTAGTAAAAACAGGGAAAGGAGGGTAGATGTGGGACTGGAGGTATTAAAGACAGGGAGAGGAGGGCAGATGTGGGACTGGAGGTATTAAAGACAGGGAGAGAAGGGCAGATGTGGAACTGGAGGTATTAAAGAATGAGAGAGGAAGTCAGATGTCGGACATTCATTTTAGTGAATTATCCTGTGAGTATACATGATATTGTGGTCAATATACTGAATTTAGCATCCATTCTCTATTCAGTGTTAACAAGGTGGAGGTTGGTGACCTGGATCGGCAAAGTCTAACGATGGAGAGTATTTGCATGATTTCTAGCAGAAAACATTGATAAGTAAATATTGTAACCACCTCTCCCTCTGCTCAGGTAACACATCTGGGAACCGAAGAACGGCCAATATTAAGAGCATCGGCTACTCTGATCTGTTCTGTCTCTCCAAGGAGGACCTCACAGATGTGCTCACCCAGTATCCCGATGCCAAAGCCATCCTGGAGGAGAAAGGTCGTGAAATCCTAGTGAAAATGAACAAACTGGATGAGAGGTTGGCAGCTGAGCTGGCAGGTAAACAAGAGGAGCTAGAGGAAAAACTGAAGAAAATGGAACGGAACTTGGACTCTCTCCAGACCAAACTGGCCCGACTTCTGGCTGAACTGGAGTCCAGTGCAGCCAAGATGTTCCAAAGGGTTAAACGGCTCGAGTGGGAAATAAGCCTGTGGGAGGAAGAGCCTCGGGAGCAGCCAAAAGACGATAACGGCAAAGAATAAGATGTTTTCTCAGTGACAAGACCGTGATGTTCACGTGTAATTGGTGGGATTCTGATGATGGAAAAAGGAGGTGACACAAAAAAATGAAATGGACAGTTTTTGTAGGATGAATCCCTGAGACGATTGAAAGGGCAGCTCTGTACAACCCTAAAGATAGTTTTATATTGGACATAACGCACCATGGCTCTGTTTGGGTCTCTTCTATGATAATGCAGCAAGATCTCTGTAAATGAGTTTGTTTCCATGTGGGGAATGTCCTTCTGGCTTTCAGTCACCCCCTTAGTGAATCGGTCTGTTGACCCACCATAGTCCTGGCCTCTGCAAAGCCATAGAAGTCTCCACTAAACCAGATGTTTCCTGTTAGAGAGGCTGTGTCACCTCAGGGGGTGTCTTGGAGTGTGCCACCTGATACTTACCTGAATCTGTCCTTCGTGGGATCCACCATCATCGATTTTCAGTATCTACCAGGAGCCCACGTCAGTGCTTTATTCTCGTACATGCACATGTGTACAATGCTGAAGTCTATGGAGTACACTGCATGAGTCGCTACTCGCAAGCCAATGCCTCATTCTCAGAGCTGTTGCTAGTAATGGCTGTGGGGAGTGATGAAACCTGAAGATAGTAGGTCTGCCTTTTTTAAAATTTTGTGGCGTTGGCAACGTAAGACAGATTACTTGCTACTTTGTCTTACGACATGTTTTCTTGTTTTGAAATTTTAATAACATTCCAATTCAGTCTTTATGTGATTTTATCTTTATGAAATGCCCAAAAGTATCATAGGTATATAGTCTCAACAAAGCATCTCCCACCCACAGTGTATGGAGGATAACATAGTTACATAGTTACATAGCTGAAAAGAGACTTGCGTCCATCAAATTCAGCCTTCCTCACAATTTTGCAACAAGCTAGGAAAAAAATTCCTTCTTGACCCCAGAATGGCAGTCAGATTTATCCTTGGATCAATCAGTTATTACCCTACATTGAAAGATTATATACTTGAATATTCTGTTCTTGCAAGTATGCATCTAGTAGCTGTTTGAACATCTGTATGGACTCTGATAAAACCACTTCCTCAGGCAGAGAATTCCACATCCTGATTGTTCTTACAGTAAAAAAACCTTTCCTTTGCCTTAGACAAAATCTTCTTTCTTCCAGTCTAAACGCATGACCTCGTGTCCTATGTAAAGTCCGGTTTGTGTATAGATTTCCACACAATGGTTTGTATTGACCCCGAATATATTTGTATAATGTTATCATATCCCCTCTCAGGCGATGTTTTTCTAAACTAAATAGGTTTAAATTTGTTAACCTTTCTTCATAGCCGATATGTTCCATTCCTTTTATTAATTTTGTAGCCCGCCTCTGCACTTTTTCTAGTGCCATAATATCCTTCTATAGAACAGGTGCCCAAAATTGCACAGCATATTCAATATGGGGTCTTACCAGTGATTTATAAAGAGGCAAAATGATATTCTTGTCCCGAGAATGAATGCCCTTTTTCATGCATGACAATACCTTACTGGCCTTGGCCACTGCTGATTGACATTGCACATTGTTGCATAGTTTGTTGTCTATAACAATTCCCAAGTCCTTTTCATGTGTTGTTATCCCTAATTCGCTTCCATTAAGGGTATACGTTGCATGTGTATTCTTTACGCCGAAGTGCATAACTTTGCATTTTTCAACATTAAATTTCAACTGCCATTTGAGTGCCCAGTCCCCCAGTCTATCTAAATCCCTCTGCAGCAAAGTAATATCTTGTTCACATTGTATTGTTTTACAAAGTTTTGTCATCTGCAAACACTGAAACATGACTTGCAATGCTGTCTTCAAGATCATTTATAAACATGTTAAATAGAAGGGGTCCCAGAACAGACCCCTGAGGGACACCACTTGACACCTCTGTCCAGCTTGAAAATTTACAATTAATAATGACTCTTTGTACTCTGTTTTTAAGCCAATGTTCTACCCAAGAACAAGCATTTTCATTTAGACCGATTTCCTTGAGTTTGAACACTAATCTATTGTGTGGAACTGTATCAAATGCCTTGGCAAAATCCAAATAGATCACATCCACGGCAACACCCTGATCTATACTTCTACTTACTTCTTCATAGAACGCATTCAAGTTAGTTTGACATGACCTGTGCTTCATAAAACCGTGCTGATTTTTGCTGATAACCATGTTCTTCTCAAGGAATTCTTGAATATTATCCCTTAATAACCTTTCAAATATTTTACCAGCCACAGAAGTTAAGCTCACGGGTCTATAATTTCCAGGCAAGGATTTTGAACCCGTTTTGAATATAGGAACCACATCTGCCTTCCTCCAATCCTCCGGAACACTTCCTGAAAGAAAATAATCTTGAAAGATTAAAAACAGAGGTTCACTTATTTCTGCACTTAGTTCCTTAAGTACACGTGGATGGATACCTTCAGGCCCTGGAGCTTTGTTTATATTAACTTTCTTTAGTTGCTGCAGCACCTTGTCTTGAGTTAACCTATTACAATTATTCTGCAAGTTTTTAGTAGCAATCATTTGCACATCTATTGCCATGGGTTCTTCCTTAATATATACGGAGGAGAAATAGTTATTTAAAATTCCTGCCTTTTCCTGGTCTTCATTAATTAACACCCCGTTTCAGTTTTTAGTGTACCTACACTTTCATTTTGTTTTTTTTTAGAATTTATGTACTTAAAAAATGCTTTGGGGTTGGTTTTGCTCTCTTTAGCTATCATTTTCTCATTTTGAAGTTTAGCAAATCTAATTGCCTTTTTGCACGCATTATTTGCTTCCTTATATCTTTAATAAGATGCATCCGATTTGTCTGATTTAAATGCTTTAAATGCCCTTTTCTTATTTTTAATCTCTTGTTTTACGTCTCTACTAAGCCACATTGGTTTTAATTTGTTCTTTTATATTTATTTCCCAATGGTACATACTGAGAAATGTAATATTTGTTGGAAGATCATCCATTTATCCTCAGTGTTCTTTTCACTAAAGAGTTTATGCCAGTCAATATATTGTAAAGCTGCCCTTAACTTATTGAAATTGGCCTTTTTAAAATTATATGTTTTAGTATTCCCCATGTGCTTTTGTTTTTTTGAGTTTATTTCAAAGGACACTATATTGTGATCACTATTTCCCAAGTGCTCACCTACTTGAATGTTGGTCAGAAGATCAACGTTGTTTGTTAAAACCAGGTCCAGATAAGCGTCCATTCTAGTTGGTGCTTGCACAAGTTGTGACATGAAGGTGTCATTTAACAAGTTTAAAAACCTAATTCCCTTTGCTGATCTACTAGTCCCACTAGTTTTTATCCATGACACAAGGAGTGTAAATCCCCTGCATTAAAGGTAAGCAGGTAGTAAAGTTATTTTATTTTTAGAATTTAATTTTCTGGTTCTTTTAAAGATCTCTATTTTCAACGTAGCCTATTTTTATTTGGCATTAGATGAGGATTCTTGATTTACAGTGGTGATACCTTGCGACACATTCTGGCGTCATTACTGATGTTGGATGCCATAATCCTGTGTCCTTGTATGATGCTTCGTACTCTCACCTTCAGGAGGATGCAGACCACGATGCCCCACTTCATTCATGGGGCTCCGTACTCACACATTCTATGGCCGCAGTAATCTTGGTATCCAATTGTAGTTTTTGCCTTTACACCCTTTATTCTGTTTCCTCAGTGGCCTGTCCTGGTTTTCTCAGAGTGACTTATTGCCATTTTGACCTTGTTTATCCTTTTGTGTCCAGCTTGTGTAGCAGATGGCATGGGGCTGTCCTCAAAGTTTGCTTTAAAAATGTATTTTGTGTGATTATTCCCCTGTATAGCTGTAATGTATGTAGCATTTGTCTGATTGTTCGGTAGTTTTCAGTCTGTGTTACATACGAATGAAAACTACCGAACTATCAGACCACCCCAGAGAGAAGTGTGCACCTTGTTAAGCTTTCACACTTCTGTAACCGCAAGCTAATTGACCATGCAATCGGTACTTTGTATACATATCTGGGTGGCCGCCGTTTGGCATACGAACCGTGTGTGGCGGCAGCCATCTTACGCAAGAAAATCTCAGCGGTGTTTGGTCGTCGAGTGTCTGGAACTCAAATCGGACACTCAATCACCTGAACACTGCTGAGACCTCCAGAGCTCCATAACTCCCGAACGGAGGGGCCAACAAGCCCCTCGTTCGGTGAACTAAATGTACCGAACAAGGGTAATCATACGAATACCGATTTAACATTGGATGGCAAGTAATTCTTTGTTTTATCTCCCGAACAGAGACCAACCTCAAGGCCAAAACACATGGAGCCTTTTTCGGATACTACCTCGTGTGCGGTCGGTCAAATTGCCTCTTCCACCTAACTCCCGAACCCCTGGTCCGATCTGGGTGAATTTTGAATATGTTGGTCACAGATCAGGGCTACCAATTAATTATATCTGACTGTTTTGGGGTACATCCAGAAATCGGGTAAAACTGCAGTATGTATAAGTGGATTATGTGTCACACTGAGGGGAGGAGATGTGTGGGAGGTAACCATTAGATTATTGGCTACTGTACAAATTAATGTGAATCCCTCCCACCTCCTGGACAGCATCCATGTTGAAGCTGCCTTCAACATGGATGCTGTCCAGGAAGTAGGAGGGTCTGGGAGGGAGGGTCTGCCGGAGATTGGCAGGGATGTGTCAGCTGACCGGTGTTCGCCCACGGCGAACCGTTCGCAGCAAGTTCGCGAATGGTTACCGACATCACTAGTCTCTAGTGGACGCTTTCTCAACAACCTGGCTCACCTTCTGGCTAGCCTAGGTTTGTGTAGGCACCGTTAGACCTGATACTTTCTTTGACAATACGGAGTTGGATTTGAGGATTTGATGAAAAAAAAACAAAAAACATTTTTGTAGTGGCAAAAGTTCTGTAAGACACCTTCTCCATTCCCACATACAGTTAGGGGGAACTAGTGATGTAAAGAATCATTCATTGGGCGTGATAACCACTTAAAGCCAATACACCTGCTACCATGTTGCTTTTCACAACGGGCATGAAATGTAAATCTCGTGGGAGTTGGCACTTTCTCCTGGTTGATAGGGGTCTTGGGACCTCACCCTGTACTTTCACTGTCCAGGAGGAAGGGAGTCCTTTCTTGTATTACACTGTTGTTAAGTGACGGGTGTACGAGGCCCTTCGGGAATTATGATATGGAGCATCATCAAGGTGTCAATCATTCAGAATGAAGATACACATAAAATAGGAACCGGAGCGTAGCACAATCACCTCTGTCCCCTGGAGTGTGGGATGAGACACAATAATATTCAAGGGTGGCTTCTTCTCATTGGTTCCACCATGCCCAGATCCAGGTGTGGTGGGCGACTAACAACAGGCAATTAGCGGAAGATGTCCAAGCCCTGTGGCATAGTGGTCACTATTTGAAACAGTTTCCACCCAAATCCTATCCCACTGTAGGTGGGCACAGCTGTCGTCTTACTGCGACCGCCAGTCCCAAGGAATGTATCCTGACAGTGCCAGCAGCTGCCTTGTCTGCGGGGATCAACATTAGTGGGCGACTGGATGCTAACAGAGCAGCGAGGCAGCACAGTATTAGCCAGGCAGTGATGTCACTGGTCGAGCAATCGGTCACAACACTTGTTGATTGGTTCTGATGTTATTTAGGGGTTTAGATGGCAGAGTTATATAACAGATAACATTTAATAAAAAAAAAAAAAGTTTTGACAGAAAGTTATTTAGGATGTTAAGTTGTTTAGGGGATGTGACGAGACCAATCACGACACATTGCATTGGAGGAGCCCGGTTGCCTGCCTGCTGCCTTTTGATTATGGACCGGCATTTAAATACGTTGTTTTCCCCTGCAGAAAGGCTTGTTCGTGCCTCTCTACCTGGGCGTTCGGTAGATTGAATCTACCGAACAAACTACCGAACGATCGACCACCTGGGAACTGGAGTGTGTCATCAATTGACCTCCCAGAAGCTGCGGTGAACCGCAGCTTAATTGATGAATGCTGGGTGGCCTTTGTTCGTTTGACGAACACGTGGTGGCGGCCATTTTAAAGTCCCGAACGGCCAGCGGTGTTCAGCGCCCAAACTATGGAACTGGAAACGGACACTTATTTGCGCGAACACCGCTGAGCCGTCAGCCTCCTTGCTTCTGCATTCGGTCATTTAACCGGATGCCTGTTCATTCGGTAGTTTAACCGTATGAACAGCATTACCCCAGATAGCCATGCCATGGAGCCTATTCATGTAACGACAGACTATGGGAAAGACTTTGGCTCCATGGCGATTAAACTGTATGTATGTGATCTGAGCGCCATTCGGTAATAATGTGCGCTCAGATCTAAGCTATCTGGGGATAGGTAGAATGTATATGTTTTGTGCAGCAGTTGTAACTTTATACGTTTTTATGTCTTTTACTGCCATGTGGTTAATGGAGTTTTGCCTCTGTCCTGGGAGATAATTGGATTACTTCCCAATTATCTCCAGGACAGAGGGAGGGAAATTAGGATGCATTGTGGATGTTTTACCTCTGTGTGTCTGTCATTGGTTGTTGTCACAGTCTCCCATTTGGTCCCCTAGGGGAGTGTCCATCAGGTGGGAGACCTGCATAAATACTGGGCAGGTAGCCCTCAATAAACCAGACCACTGCTTGACCCTCAACACGGAGCTCTGTCTCGTCTTTGGGGGATTTACTGTATGCTATTAGAGACTGATTGTCAGGAGTGTAAGCCGCTTGGGTGCTTTTCCTGTTCGTCTGCTAGCAGCTACTCGTGAGGTTCCAGTTCGGGAGTTTAGAGTGCTACTTTGGATGCAGTTCGGGCGTTTGGAGCATTCCCTTATATGCAGTTCTTGAGTTTGGTGTTCTGCAGTAGCTGCCTGTATATCTGGAAGGGAATATCTCCTAAATGGCTTTTAACCCCTTTTATGCCTGGGGGTGCCGTTACAGGGTTTATTTAGTTATGTGATAAAGTAAAACCGATTGTGACAAACAGGGCTATTTACTAAAGTGAGACTTTAAAGTGATTTCTAATTTAAGGCCAAAATTTCCAAAACAGAACAAATCTCCTGCTTTCAGTGCAGCTTCTTAAATCTGATTTCTCACTTCAGTCAATAACCCGTCGAGTTTTATGATGGTAAGTTAGGGTGTTTTTAGGGGAATACGAGTGGCTGGTTTAGGGTAGTCAAGAGATTAAAGTAAAAATATTTGTAATGAAAAAACTGCTAAAAGTTCAGTTTCCAAACACTCATTGCAAAGGGATTTGTTTTTTTTTGTTTTTTTTGCAAAGAAGCATCCGATACCTGTCACCAACACCGTCAGAGTTCCTGGCACAATGGCGGATTCTGATTGCAGCAGACACAGATTAGCAGTTTTTATTTTTAAAATCCTCACAATCACTAATCGGCTCTTTTCAGATAGCGGGGTCCTCACACTCACTCTTTGGGTCAGCCAACCACTTTTAACCTTTTAAATGCATTGCTTCTAAACAAAATGGAGGCTTAATGGACCACTATTGGACCACAAACGTGTATTCCTGACCCTATATTTTTCCCCACTGCCCCCACCCCCTATACTCCTTACCTTCCTTAAAAGGTAGAAAACTTACCTTGTTTCCAGCGCCAAGCAGGTCTGTGGGCATGTGTCAGCAGGAGCCTGGTGGAGCGATTTGACCCTTTAACGGCGCGACAGGTCCCTGGAGCCACGCAGGAGAGGGCTACGGATTGGGAGAGCTAGCCACTAACTCCCAACAGCCTGCGGATTGGACCCCAGTGAATCCACCCTCCTCTATCCAAAATGTAGAAAGCTGGAGGGTGGCTATAAAAGTGTACATTTTAACCAGCCATGTGTGTCTGTGTGTCTTTATATCTGCCTATGTGTATCTGCATGTGTGTCTGTATGTCTATCAGTGTGTGTCTATGTGTCTTTATATCTACCTATGCGTATCTGCATGTCTATCAGTGTGTGTCTGTATGTCTATCAGCGTGTGCCTGTATGTCTATCAGTGTGTGTCTCTATGTCTATTAGCGTGTGCCTATATGTCTATCAGTATGTCTGTCTATCAGTGTGTGCCTGTATGTCTATCAGTGTGTGTCTGTATGTCTATCTATCATTGTGTGTCTGTATGTCTATCAGTGTGTCTGTATGTCTATCTGTGTGTGCCTATCAGTGTGTGTCTGTATGTCTATCTGTGTGTGCCTATCAGTGTGTGTCTGTATGTCTATCTATCAGTGTGTGTCTGTATGTCTATCTATCAGTGTGTGTCTGTATGTCTATTAGCGTGTGCCTATATGTCTATCAGTGTGTGCCTGTATGTCTATCGTTGTGTGTCTGTATGTCTATCAGTGTGTGCCTGTATGTCTATCTATCAGTGTGTGTCTGTATGTCTATCTATCAGTGTGTGTCTGTATGTCTATCTGTGTGTGCCTGTATGTCTATCTATCAGTGTCTGTATGTCTATCTAGCAGTGTGTGTCTGTATGTCTATCAGTGTATGTCTGTATGTCTATCTATCAGTGTATGTCTATCTATCAGTGTGTGTCTGTATGTCTATTAGCGTGTGCCTATATGTCTATCAGTGTGTGTCTGTATGTCTATCTGTGTGTGCCTGTATGTCTATCTATCAGTGTCTGTATGTCTATCTAGCAGTGTGTGTCTGTATGTCTATCAGTGTATGTCTGTATGTCTATCTATCAGTGTGTGTCTGTATGTCTATTAGCGTGTGTCTGTATGTCTATCTATCAGCGTGTGCCTGTATGTCTATCAGTGTGTGTCTGTATGTCTATCAGCGTGTGCCTGTGTGTCTATCAGTGTGTGCCTATATGTCTATCAGTGTGTGTCTGTATGTCTATCAGTGTGTGCCTGTATGTCTATAGGTGTGTGCCTGTATGTCTGTCTATCAGTGTGTGCCTGTATGTCTATCGGTGTGTGACTGTATGTCTATCTATCAGTGTGTGCCTGTATGTCTATCAGTGTGTGTCTGTATGTCTATCTGTGTGTGCCTGTATGTCTATCTATCAGTGTCTGTATGTCTATCTAGCAGTGTGTGTCTGTATGTCTATCAGTGTATGTCTGTATGTCTATCTATCAGTGTATGTCTATCTATCAGTGTGTGTCTGTATGTCTATTAGCGTGTGCCTATATGTCTATCAGTGTGTGTCTGTATGTCTATCTATCAGCGTGTGCCTGTATGTCTATCAGTGTGTGTCTGTATGTCTGTGTGTCTGTATAAAACAAATTTTACACAATAGCGTGCAAAACACACAAAGTGTGGGGGTGGTAGTAGAAGTAACAGTGCAACTCCACAGTGTTTTAAAACCACTTAAAAAACACAGATAACATACAAGTAAAAGATAGAGATAGAGGAGTGCAAATACAAATGTATATGGTATACTTAGAGACACTGGTCAGTCCTTCAGATGTAACCTATATACAAAAAGATCCAAACATAGCATAATACTGTTTTTCCAAATAATATAGTAAATAGATGTGGATTTTTCACTCACACTTTGCAGAGCCACGCATAGTAGGCTCTGACTATAGTTGCTCTTTGATAATTCCCTGGTGTATTAAACTCCACCACGCCTTCAGAATTCTCCACTTGGATCAGGATACAGGAGATATAAAAATTCCAAAACAGAGTGGGGATACTTTTCAAAATTTAATAATATACAGGGACATATATAAAGTGCATAAAACAAAATAGCAGCACTACATGTACAAAGACATCTATAAAGTGCATAAAAAGAATAACACTAACGCGTTTCGACTAAAATAAAGTCTTTTTCAAAGTGCATAAAGTAATGGTCGCCATATTGGGTATTTATATCCTCACTGGTGTTCTAATTTGGCGCCCAAACATCTCCGTCGTGGTGTCCTCCTCCTACTTCCTGGTTCCGGCGGGCGGCTTCCACGTTCCCGCCCTTTTTCACGTCACGTTGCGTCTGACATCAGACGTTTTTCGCCGGACCGGAAGTGCCTCATATTAAGTTCATGAAGTTGTTGCAGCCATATTTGAACGTTCTTAAATCATATAGTCTAAATAAAGAGGTTCTGACAATAATCTTTCTTCAAATTTATGTGTCTCTTATCCTAAAACTTATTTCATTATAATCATACATTTGAATATCCAAAACATAGTTACATATATCAAAATCTAATTAATAACATATTATATAAAATACAAGAGGAGATAAAAAACAGAGAGAGAGAGAAATTTAGGGGGAAAGAGATATTATTAATCAAAAAGATATAAAAAACAATATAGTTAAAAAGTATATATTGTTAAAAAAGTGTATATATTAATAACCTTAAATTAAAATAATTAAATAAGTACACTCATCTCAAAATCCATATTGAGACCTTTGGGTGATAGTGTATCTAAATTAAAAATCCAGCCCATTTCACATTTACTTAGGTTAGAATTAATGTCACCCCCTCTCCAATGCTTAGTCACAGCTTGAATTCCATAAAACTTGATTCCACTTGGATCTTGATTATGATGTTCTAAAAAATGTAAAGAAACACTATGTGTTTTAAATCCTTTTTTAATGTTGTATATGTGTTCCCGCACCCTCGTGGCCACACACCTGGACGTCTTGCCCACATATTGCAGGCCACAAGGGCATTCTAACACATACACAACATTTTTAGTTTTACAGGAAATAAAGTTTTCTATCTTATGTTCTTTTAGGTTAACATTGGAGTGGAAGGACAGTATCTTCCTTTCTTTTACTTTAGATGTTCTACATCCCATACAGCTACCACAGAAATTAAATCCTTTTAATAAAGCTTTCTGACTATTTAAAAAATTATTGTCAGTTTTTTCAATAAAACTCGAAGTTAAAATCTGTTTAAGATTTTGTGCCCCCCTATATATAATTTTTGGTTTCTCCCCTATATAGGGTGCAATGTCATCATCCTGTTTAAGTAAATGCCAATTTTTGTTGAGAATACGTTTTAGTTTAGAATGATTTTTATTAAAATTAAATATTAGTGGGATCGTATCTTCATGTTTGTTATCTTTCTTTTGTTGGTAATTTAACAATTCTTCTCTTTTTAATTTTCCAATTTCTTGAATTGTACTTTCAAGGTTTTCATTTTTATAGCCTTTTTCTAAAAATTGTCCTTTCAATGTAAAGGCCTGCAAGTTATATTTTTCTATTTCCGAGCAGTTCCTTCTCAGTCTAAGGAACTGACCTCTCGGAATATTGTCCAGCCAAGGTGGAAAGTGACAGCTCCCCTTTTCAATAAAGCTGTTCACATCCACCTGTTTAAAAAAAGTACAGGTTTCAATTTTATCTTTTTTTATATAAATATTCAGGTCTAGAAAATCAATCGTTTGGTTATTTATTACATGAGTTAGTTTAATATTCCACTGATTAATATTAAGATAATTTAAAAAATCTAAAACCAATGATTCATCACCTTTCCAAATAAAAAAAATATCATCAATGTATCTTCTATAGAGGACCAGGTTCGCAACCCAGTCATGCTGGGAAAAAACAAACTGTTCCTCCCAGAAGGCCATAAAAAGATTAGCATAACTGGGGGCGAACCTGGTCCCCATAGCCGTTCCTCTACATTGCAGATAAAAATCCCCCTCAAACCAAAAAAAATTGTTGTTTAAAATCAATTGAATAGACTCTAATATAAAATCAATTTGCTCCTCCGAATACATTTTTGAATTTTGGAGGAAGGATCTTGTTGCTTCACAGCCTTTATCATGTTGAATACACGTACAGAGGCTGGCCACATCACACGTGACAAGCAAGAAATCCTTTTCCCACTTAATATCTTTTAAAATCTGTAATAGACTCATAGAGTCTTTAAGAAAGGAGGGACATGTCTTAACTATCGGTTGTAAAAAGGTGTCAACATATTTGGATAGGGGTGATAATAATGATCCTATCCCTGAGACTATAGGTCTCCCGGGTGGATTCTGTATATCTTTATGTAACTTTGGCAAAACATATATAACGGGTATTCTTGGGCATTCTGTATTTAGAAATTTATATTCCTTTAGCGTTAAGATGCCCTTTTGTAGACCCCTATCTAAGATTTTTATATATTCTTTCCTTATTTCAATTGAAGGATCATTTTTAAGCTTTTTATATGTTTCTTTATCGTCTAATTGTTGTTTAATCTCCGCTATATATGACTCTTTATTTAAGAGCACCACCCCTCCCCCCTTATCGGCGGGTTTAATCACTATGTTTTTATCTTTTTTTAAATCAATCATTGCTTTTTTCTCTTTGATAGTCAAGTTGTTTTGATATTTATTATTTTCAACTTTTATTTCTTTTATATCCTTAATACATGCTTTCTCAAAAACCTTCATTTCTTTGGATTTTAAATAAATAGGATAAAATTTAGAGGGGTTCTTTAAATCTGTGTGATGAAATTCATTGGTCTCTTCATTAATCTCAACATCTTGACTTTTCATATTATTCATTTCTTTTTCCTTAAAGAACTTTTTTAGACATAATTTTCTAGTAAACCTATTTAGGTCTGTATAGGTTTCAAACTTGTTAATAGGGCAGCTAGGTACAAATTTAAAACCTTTACTTAAAACACTTTTGTGGTTTTCATCTAAAACTTTATTTGATAAATTAAAAATCTTTATCGGCGTCTTATTTTTCCCTCGGGTCTTCTCAATTCTCTTATTTCCATCTCTTCTAAATCTCCTATCTCTCCCTCCTCGTACTCTCTGTGTCTCCTTTTCTGTGGAACTGGACTCATAAATCTTCTGTCTCTTTGGCCTCTCTCTAAAAAAAGGTCATGGTCTCCATTATCATTTCTTTTTAATGTTTCATATCTATTATAAGTCGAAATTGATCTTTTTTGTGGTAGTGGAGTCCTATACTGTTCTTGTTCTTTTCTATTGAACCTTTCATTTACTTTCCTACTTTCTAACTTCTGTGGGTATCTTTTCTTTCTTACCTCTACCCAATCATTCGATTCGTTCCTATTTTTATATGTTAAATTACCAACAAAAGAAAGATAACAAACATGAAGATACGATCCCACTAATATTTAATTTTAATAAAAATCATTCTAAATTAAAACGTATTCACAACAAAAATTGGCATTTACTTAAACAGGATGATGACATTGCACCCTATATAGGGGAGAAACCAAAAATTATATATAGGGGGGCACAAAATCTTAAACAGATTTTAACTTCGAGTTTTATTGAAAAAACTGACAATAATTTTTTAAATAGTCAGAAAGCTTTATTAAAAGGATTTAATTTCTGTGGTAGCTGTATGGGATGTAGAACATCTAAAGTAAAAGAAAGGAAGATACTGTCCTTCCACTCCAATGTCAACCTGAAAGAACATAAGATAGAAAACTTTATTTCCTGTAAAACTAAAAATGTTGTGTATGTGTTAGAATGCCCTTGTGGCCTGCAATATGTGGGCAAGACGTCCAGGTGTGTGGCCACGAGGGTGCGGGAACACATATACAACATTAAAAAAGGATTTAAAACACATAGTGTTTCTTTACATTTTTTAGAACATCATAATCAAGATCCAAGTGGAATCAAGTTTTATGGAATTCAAGCTGTGACTAAGCATTGGAGAGGGGGTGACATTAATTCTAACCTAAGTAAATGTGAAATGGGCTGGATTTTTAATTTAGATACACTATCACCCAAAGGTCTCAATATGGATTTTGAGATGAGTGTACTTATTTAATTATTTTAATTTAAGGTTATTAATATATACACTTTTTTAACAATATATACTTTTTAACTATATTGTTTTTTATATCTTTTTGATTAATAATATCTCTTTCCCCCTAAATTTCTCTCTCTCTCTGTTTTTTATCTCCTCTTGTATTTTATATAATATGTTATTAATTAGATTTTGATATATGTAACTATGTTTTGGATATTCAAATGTATGATTATAATGAAATAAGTTTTAGGATAAGAGACACATAAATTTGATGAAAGATTATTGTCAGAACCTCTTTATTTAGACTATATGATTTAAGAACGTTCAAATATGGCTGCAACAACTTCATGAACTTAATATGAGGCACTTCCGGTCCGGCGAAAAACGTCTGACGTCAGACGCAACGTGACGTGAAAAAGGGCGGGAACGTGGAAGCCGCCCGCCGGAACCAGGAAGTAGGAGGAGGACACCACGACGGAGATGTTTGGGCGCCAAATTAGAACACCAGTGAGGATATAAATACCCAATATGGCGACCATTACTTTATGCACTTTGAAAAAGACTTTATTTTAGTCGAAACGCGTTAGTGTTATTCTTTTTATGCACTTTATAGATGTCTTTGTACATGTAGTGCTGCTATTTTGTTTTATGCACTTTATATATGTCCCTGTATATTATTAAATTTTGAAAAGTATCCCCACTCTGTTTTGGAATTTTTATATCTCCTGTATCCTGATCCAAGTGGAGAATTCTGAAGGCGTGGTGGAGTTTAATACACCAGGGAATTATCAAAGAGCAACTATAGTCAGAGCCTACTATGCGTGGCTCTGCAAAGTGTGAGTGAAAAATCCACATCTATTTACTATATTATTTGGAAAAACAGTATTATGCTATGTTTGGATCTTTTTGTATATAGGTTACATCTGAAGGACTGACCAGTGTCTCTAAGTATACCATATACATTTGTATTTGCACTCCTCTATCTCTATCTTTTACCTGTGTGTCTGTATGTCTATCAGTGTGTGCCTGTATGTCTATCTATCAGTGTGTGCCTATATGTCTATCAGTGTGTGTCTGTATGTCTATCAGTGTGTGCCTGTATGTCTATAGGTGTGTGCCTGTATGTCTGTCTATCAGTGTGTGCCTGTATGTCTATCGGTGTGTGACTGTATGTCTATCTATCAGTGTGTGTCTGTATGTCTATCGGTGTGTGCCTATCAGTGTGTGTCTGTATGTCTATTAGCGTGTGCCTATATGTCTATCAGTGTGTGTCTGTATGTCTATCTATCAGTGTGTGCCTGTATGTCTATAGGTGTGTGTCTGTATGTCTGTCTATCAGTGTGTGCCTGTATGTCTATCTATCAGTGTGTGTCTGTATGTCTATCGGAGTGTGCCTGTATGTCTGTAGGTGTGTGTCTGTATGTCTGTCTATCAGTGTGTGCCTGTATGTCTATCGGTGTGTGACTGTATGTCTGTCTATCAGTGTGTGTCTGTATGTCTATCGGTGTGTGTCTGTATGTCTATCAGCGTGTGCCTGTATGTCTATAGGTGTGTGTCTGTATGTCTGTCTATCAGTGTGTGCCTGTATGTCTATCGGTGTGTGCCTGTATGTCTATCGGTGTGTGTCTGTATGTCTATCAGTGTGTGTCTGTCTGTCTATCTATCAGTGTGTGTCTGTATGTCTATCAGTGTGTGCCTGTATGTCTATCAGCGTGTGTCTGTATGTCTATCAGCGTGTGCCTGTATGTCTATCAGCGTGTGCCTGTATGTCTATCAGTGTGTGTCTGTATGTCTATCTATCATTGTGTGCCTGTATGTCTATCTATCAGTGTGTGCCTGTATGTCTATAGGTGTGTGTCTGTATGTCTGTCTATCAGTGTGTGCCTGTATGTCTATCGGTGTGTGACTGTATGTCTATCTATCAGTGTGTGTCTGTATGTCTATCGGTGTGTGTCTGTATGTCTATCAGCGTGTGTCTGTATTTCTGTCTATCAGTGTGTGCCTGTATGTCTATCGGTGTGTGCCTGTATGTCTATCGGTGTGTGTCTGTATGTCTATCAGTGTGTGTCTGTATGTCTATCTATCAGTGTGTGCCTGTATGTCTATAGGTGTGTGTCTGTATGTCTGTCTATCAGTGTGTGCCTGTATGTCTATCGGTGTGTGTCTGTATGTCTATCAGCGTGTGCCTGTATGTCTATCAGCGTGTGCCTGTATGTCTATCAGTGTGCGTCTGTATGTCTATCTATAAGTGTGTACCTGTATGTCTATCTATCAGTGTGTGCCTGTATGTTACTCCACTCATATCCGTGGAGCAAATGGATTGGCCTTGCTTAGTGACCTTGCTGTTGTTATAATCCATAAGGACTGGCTAGGGAGTGCATGCTCTTGTATCAGCCAGTGCCCTGACAGACTGGTCCCAATGACAATCATTACTCCATTTATAATAGACATCTAGTGTAAAATGAAGACGTGGTATAGCGTCACGGTGTCCGGCAATAATATGTATGTTAATTAGCACCCATACCGTTACTGACATCATAACAGAATCATAGTACAGCAGCTGACTCGCATCCGGGAACACGGGGACTTCACTTCCTCGTTAGCTTAATTAGTCTTTATTGGTTCTATGTTACAGAGAGTAATAACACACAAAGTATCATCCATCTTATTGCTGAAAGTTATTTTCCTGAAGCATTCTGTTTGCGTTATATTCTTTAACCCCTTAAGGACACAAGCCGAAAGTTGTCCATCATGATTCCTTTTTACTTCTGAAGCTGTGTCCTTAAGGGGTTAAATTAATATTCTAACGATTATTTAGTTGATTCACCCCCAAAGAAACCACGGATGCATTTTATTCCTGCTGTTTTTGGTGGGGGGGCTAATACAAAACCCAGCTTGCAAACGCTACAGGCCTGCGAGCACAGCTTCCCAGTGAGTTGTAGTACAGATTACGGAGAGGAGAGGAAGGCCATTCCCATTAATTCTGTGAAGCCAATAGAAGAAATCCTCCCTGGCTGTCTAAACGAGAGCCAGGGAGTTATAAAACTGTTGATTTCTAAATGACAGACTCTCAGCAAGCTGAGGTGCTTTATGTGCCGGAGCGTTCCTGTACAGAATATAATGTGAATATAAGGAACTCCCAGTGTTTCATATTCCAGAGCAGCAACGGGGCTGGAATAATCACTGCCTGGATTATTCACTAACGTGTTCACTGTGAATTTCAACGCCAGCGATATTTCCAGTTTGAAACATCTACAGCCACGTTGATATGCACACCACGGCACATGGTGAGAGCTTGCCGTTCACTGCCCCTGATCTCATGCTTACCGTGTGATAATGTGCGCTGCTCTATGTTGGTGCTTTATAAATGAGCTGATGATGATGAGGAGTTAGAATGTTTAAATATTTACCAGCCAAATCGAAATCCAGAAATGGTACATTTGTACACGGCCCACGCTTTCCATTTATTATTAAACAAGCGTGTGTGCCATCTCAGTACAGCCAAACCCAACACACAGGAATGTCTCGTTACACAGCCACCGTTTGGCTCTGTTGTTCCAAGTGTGCGGAGTTCCATTTCCGGGTTTAGATTCTGTGTTGGAACTTTCTGAGGTTCATGATCCAGATAAAGAAAATCTCGGGCATTTCATGGTAAAGGCACAGAGCACTCCGACCAGCGAAAGGCAGGCGTAGAGACAAAATGGCACCCATTTATTCCAGTTCTCACCATAAAAACAGACATTGGCTCCAGTGTTAGTCATTCAAGATTAATCCAGAGGCTTGTAACGACGTTATTCGGTGTCAGTCCTGTCAATCTCCATGTCACCATCTATGCGTTCCGAGCTGAACGCAGACTTGCTATTAAACTCACTCTAATGACTTCAGTCCGATTTATTTTAACCTAAAATGCTGCGTTTCTTAATACAAAGTTCCTGCCATCAGCTGTCCGTGGTTCAATAAAGCAGGATACCCCATTTAAAGTGACCTCATGCTATTTAAACATTATCTTCTTCTATAATAATAATAAATAATTTAAATTAAAGATGCCGTCTGTGTGGGGCACGTAGACAGATTCTCTCATTGCTTTTGCAGTGAAAGATCTGTTTTTACACAGATTTGGCAGAGAAGATGGAATTGGGATCCACTATTGATTGTTACAGTGATCATTGTGGAATTGCTATAAAACGTTATACATTGTTAATCTTGGAGTGCAATTAGCTTTAACTTAATACAGTTCTGTGATTGTAAACCTCAAATCCCCCCTAACACGTTCACACCACATAGAACCCATATACAACATGATAAAAGCTCTATAGAATGTCCATTAACCCCCTGTAGACTGTTATACCGTGTACACACACTGTATAGATATTATCCAGTGTACACACGGACAGTGTACAGATAGTTTATCCCGTGTACACGCACTGTACACATATTATGCAGGGTAGACACACACTCTAGTGCTCTCTAGTTTTTAAACATCGATTCCCACAATCCTTTCACACGTTAGTTCATCTGAGTGCAGCAGAGAATTCTGGAAAAAGCTCTTTCTATCCATAGCTGTCCAGTGGCCATACCCGCTCTATTGATTATAGTTAAAGAGACGGGATCCCTGATGCCACACATTACAGGCCCTGGCACAGTTGGCGTAGTGTCCATTCTTACCGCGCTGTGTGTTTGGGGTGCGGATTACAGGGTTTTCTTTCTATTCCGGCAGAATGTGATTCTCTCATTATGTTACTGTAGATTTTTGTTGCCTGCGGTCAGTCCGGGGTGGGGTTTATATACGGAGACAGGGCTCAGTCAATATACAGTCTTGGTGTGGTAGCATTTACAGACCCAAACGACAGTCTCTTTCCTCAGCAGTAGCGTTTGGGCTTCCAGTCTGAATTCTGGGCAAACTTCAAATCCTTGCAGAGCTGGGTGTCGTCCGATCGAGCGGAGCGCAGTGTGCACAGGAGGGTGCTCTTACAGCTCTCTTTACACACCTCCTCCACATGGCCCTTGTGGTACAGATACCAGAATGTCTGGAAGAGCCGTTCGTCCTGCAGGAAGCGGTGGATGAGGTTATCCCAGTCTGACGGGTAGGCAGACTTCATGCCGTAGGTTTTTACAGCGCTGTAAAGCAGGGTCCAAGAAGGCTCCTCCGTCACCTTAGCATTGGCCTGAGTTAGATTTAGGATGTAGGTTTCATGGTCCAAAACCATGTGTGAGCTCGCAGGATACTCGCCATCTATCAGGTACACACGGTAACCTGCAAAGGAAAAAGACTAATTACTCAGAATTCCGTGCAGTCTATCATCTGCAAATACATTCCATTCATTCCACTAGGGATCGACCGATTATCGGTTTTACTGATATAGTCGGCCGATATTCGGTATTTTCGGCAATATCGGTATCAGCCCATATAGATACCGATATTGCTGATAATACCTCCCAGGTCCGCCAGGCTCATTACAAGCCCGGCGGTCCTGGGGGGGGGGGGGGCGCAGCGTTTACTTACCTCCCCTGCAGCTCCTCCAGCTAGCCAGTGTAAGTCTCGCGAGACCCGCGGCCGTCAAGCACTAAGGGCCGCAAGATTTACACTGGGAGCTGGAGGGGAGGTAAGTAAACGCTACCTGCGGCCCCCCCCAGATCAGCCAATGCCACTGGACCACCAGGGACTGTCATATCCCCCCTCCCTGACCAGGTAACAAGCAGGGAGGGGGGACAACAAAAATAATAAAATATAACTATTAAAAATAAGCATAAAAAAATAAACAAATATTAAAAATTAAAATAAACATAAATATTAAAAAAATAAAATAAAACAAACATTAAAAATTAAAGTAAAAAAATGCCTCCCCCCACCCCACTTTACACAAATCACATCCCTTCAGGAAAACACACACACACACTGCATTATATACACACACACTACACACACTGTATATATGTCAGGATCGTGACAGGGATCCAACACGCAGAATACAAACAGGAGATAGGTACGTATACCGGACCTTAGAGTGGCCGGACTAACGTAAGGAGAGAGCAAAAAGAATGGTCAGAGACAAGCCGAGGTCGAGGGAGCGAGAGATCAGGTAAGCGAGAGACAAGCCGGGTCAAAAGGACAAGAGAGTAAAGCAGGGTCAGAATACAAGCCGAGTCAGGAACCAAAAGACAATAGAGGTAAGTGCACTGAGTGACCAGACTAGCTAGAACCACGACAGGGCAATGAATCATTCCACAGAACCCTTTTTTATACCTTGGCTCTTTAACTGTTGGCTCCGCCCCCAACGGGTCCTGATTGGTTGTTCGGCACTTGGTTGCCGTGATTGACGGGTCGGAACGTGATTGCCGTCATGACGTCGGCTACTGAGCGCCGCGTCATAAAAGGAGGCGGAGCTATCGCGGCCGGCGTGTAAACGACCGGGAGGAGTGCAAGGATCGGGTGAGTCAGCCCCCCTGGGAGGATGGACGTCTAGGTGTCTAACCTCCTCCGAGGTAGACACCAAAGGTAACCTGACAGTACCCCCCCTCTCAGAAACGCCCACCGGGCGGAAGGAACCGGGGCGAGACGGAAAACGAGCATGAAATGCCCGGAGGAGACGAGGGGCATGCACATTTTCATGGACCACCCAAGACCTCTCTTCAGGCCCATACCCCTTCCAGTCAACAAGATATTGCAACTTCCCCCGAGAAATACGAGAATCGAGAATGGATTTGATTTCATATTCCTCCTGACCCTCAACCTGGACAGAGAGAGGGGAGGACTCAGCGGAGGAAAATCTGTTGCAAACCAAAGGCTTCAACAAAGAAACATGAAAAGAGTTAGGGATGCGCAGGGCAGGCGGAAGGGCAAGACGATACGCAACCGGGTTAATCCGACACAGAACCTTGTAAGGGCCTATGTAACGAGGGGCAAATTTCATGGAAGGAACCTTCAAGCGGATGTTTCTGGTACTCAACCACACCCTATCACCCGGGGCAAAAACCGGAGCCACCCGTCTCCGTTTGTCAGCGTGTCGTTTGAACACCATGGAATTCTGAAGAAGAATTCGTCGAGTCTGATCCCACAACTTTCTCAGATTGGCGACATGAACATCAACCGACGGAACCCCTTGGGAAGGGGAAACCGACGGAAGAATGGAAGGATGAAAGCCATAATTCAAGAAAAAGGGGCTAGAACGAGTAGAATCACAAACGAGATTGTTGTGTGCAAACTCTGCCCAAGGAATCAGACCAACCCAATCGTCCTGGTGTTCAGAAACAAAACAACGCAAATATTGTTCAATCTTTTGGTTGGTGCGTTCGGCAGCTCCGTTGGACTGGGGATGATAGGCAGATGAGAAATTCAACTTGATGCCTAAGTGAGAACAGAAAGACTTCCAAAAGCGGGAAACAAATTGGGAACCTCTATCAGAAACAATTTCAGAGGGAATACCATGTAAACGAAAAATCTCCCTCGCGAATATCTCAGCTAATTCGGGAGACGAGGGCAGTTTAGGCAAGGGCACGAAATGAGCCATTTTAGTAAACCTGTCAATCACCGTGAGAATAACAGTATGTTTTTTAGAAACAGGCAAATCGACAATGAAGTCCATAGCCAAACATGACCATGGTCTCTCGGGAATTTCTAAGGGGTGCAAAAGTCCACAAGGGAGCGCGTGAGGTTGCTTAGTCTTCATACAGACAGCACATGCCCCGACGAAATCCCTTATATCCTTACGAAGGGAAGGCCACCAGAAATCTTTAGAAATCAGGGAACATGTTTTGCGTATGCCGGGGTGCCCAGCAATTTTACTGTCATGAAAGCAATGCAGCAATTCCACTTGGAGCTCAGGAGGAACGAAGTATCGATCCCCAGGAACAGGTTTGGGAGCTAGATGTTGTACTTTCTTGATCTCAGCAAGCAACGGCGAGTGTATCCTGACACATGTGTTGGCAATAATATTACACTTGGGAACGATAGAAGACAAAGCAGCTTCAGACACCGTAGAAGGTTCATGTTGACGGGACAATGCATCTGCCTTAGAGTTCTTAGAGCCAGGTCTATAAGTGAGCACGTAATTGAAATGTGTCAGAAACAAGGACCAACGAGCTTGCCTGGCGGACAAGCGCTTGGCCTCCCCTATATAGGACAAATTCTTGTGATCCGTCAAAATAGTAACCGGGTATAATGTCCCCTCCAACAAATGTCTCCATTCCTTTAAAGCCATAATGACCGCTAACAGTTCCCTATCACCAATGTCATATCTACTTTCAGGCCCAGATAATTTCTTGGAAAAAACCCCACATGGATGTAACGGTTTATCCAAACCTAGCCTTTGGGACAAGATAGCGCCTATACCTGTCTCCGAGGCGTCTACCTCGAGTAGAAAAGGCAAAGATGTGTCAGGATGAACTAATATCGGTGCTGAGGCAAAATGTTCTTTGAGTGTTTTGAAAGCAGAGAGAGCCTCTGTAGACCAAGTCTTGGTATCAGCACCCTGTCTAGTCATATTGGTAATAGGAGCAATAATAGAAGAGTAACCTTTAATGAAGCGCCTATAATAATTGGAGAATCCGATAAATCTCTGAATGGCCTTGAGTCCCCTAGGCAATGGCCAATCTAAAATCGATTGGAGTTTAATGGGGTCCATCCTAAATCCGTCTCCAGAAATAACGTAGCCAAGAAAGTTTATCTGAGATTGGTCGAAGCTACACTTTTCCAATTTGCAGTACAATCCATGTTGTAACAGTTTGCGCAGTACCCTTCTGACTTGTCTGTGGTGAGTCTCAATCTCTCTAGAGTGTATTAGTATATCATCCAAATATACTATAACGCATTCATGCTGAAATTCCCTAAGAACCTCATTAATAAGGTCCTGGAATACTGCAGGTGCATTGCAAAGCCCGAAGGGCATTACCGTGTATTCATAGTGGCCATAACGGGTATTGAAAGCTGTTTTCCATTCGTCTCCCTGCTGAATTCTCACCAAGTTATAAGCTCCCCTCAAATCTAACTTGGTAAAAATCTTGGAGCCTTTCAGTCGATCAAAGAGCTCAGTAATCAAAGGAATAGGATAAGCATTTCTAACAGTTATCTTATTCAAGCCCCGATAATCAATGCAAGGCCGTAGAGTGCCGTCTTTTTTATCTACAAAAAAGAAACCGGCCCCGGCCGGAGAAGATGATCTCCTAATAAATCCTTTGTCTAGGTTTTCACGTATGTACTCCTCTAGGACTAAGTTTTCCTTAGTGGATAAAGGATATACCGTACCCCTCGGAGGCATAGTACCAGGTAGGAGTCTAATTTTACAGTCGAAAGACCTATGTGGAGGTAAAGTATCAGCCCCCCTTTTGTCAAAGACCGCCTTTAAATCCAGGTACTGCGACGGTATCTGTAAATCTGTAGATTGGGAAGAGTTAACCGGGGCGTCAACCCTGCAAATCGGTGAGACTTTCTGCAAACATCCTCTCTGGCAACCCTGACCCCAGGAGACTATCTCACCCAATTCCCAGTCAATGATAGGGTTATGCTTCTTAAGCCAGGGATACCCCAAGACTATAGGAACTGAAGGAGATGAGATCAGCATGAGGGATATTCTTTCCTCGTGAAGGATACCAGTGGTTAACTTAATTGGTATGGTTTCACGAAGAATAACAGGTTCAGATAATGGTCTACCATCTATGGCCTCAACGGCCAAGGGTGTATCCCTTAGCTGAGATGGGATAGAATGGTTAGTGACAAAGGCTTGGTCAATAAAGCTTTCAGCTGCTCCGGAATCTATCAAAGCCATAGCATTAAGTACTCCCTTTTCCCAAGCTAAAGAAACAGGTATCAGAAGCCTATGATCTTTATAATCATATATAGAGGACAAGATAGAAACACCCAAGGCCTGTCCTCTTGAGAAACTTAGGTGCGAGCGTTTCCCGGCCGGTTAGGGCAATTTAGGCGTAGGTGACCTCTAATTCCGCAATACATACAAAGGCCCTCCCTTCTCCTGTACTGTCTTTCCTCTTCTGAGAGTCGAGTATTACCTATTTGCATAGGTTCTGGGAGAGCTAAAGTAGTAGAATCAGAACTCTGAAATGAGGGAGCTAGTCTTATGGAGGATCTGCGGGTTCTATCCCGAATATTCTGCCTCTGTCTCATACGTTCATCTATTCGGGAAATAAATGAAATCAGATCCTCCAAATTTTCAGGAAGATCTCTTGTGGCCACCTCATCTAAAATCTCATCAGATAACCCGTTCATAAATACGTCCATATAAGCCTGTTCATTCCACTTGACTTCTGCCGCCAAGGATCTGAACTCTAAAGCATAATCCACGAGGGTTCGGTTATACTGTCTAAGACGTAACAGTAGTCTAGCTGCATTGGCCTTTCTTCCTGGGGGGTCAAAAGCTCTCCTAAATGCAGCGACAAAAGCATTATAGTTATAAACTAACGGGTTATCATTTTCCCACAGGGGGTTAGCCCATCTAAGTGCCTTGTCAATGAGCAAGGTAATAATAAATCCAACCTTCGCCCTGTCAGTAGGGTAAGCGTGGGGTTGTAACTCAAAATGAATACCTATCTGGTTTAAAAAACCTCGACAAGTGTCAGGAGCGCCGCCATAGCGTGACGGGGACGTAACACGGGAAGAAGTAGCCACTGTGGCTACCTCTAGGCCTGTACTTATAGGAGAGATAGATGAGGGTACGCATCTCCTCTGAGTGATTACTAGGACGAGATAGCAATGCTTGCAGAGCTAGAGCCATCTGGTCCATTCTATGATCCATGGCCTCAAATCTAGAGTCAGGAGAACCGACCTGAGAGTTTGTACCTGCAGGATCCATTGGCCCTGTCGTAATGTCAGGATCGTGACAGGGATCCAACACGCAGAATACAAACAGGAGATAGGTACGTATACCGGACCTTAGAGTGGCCGGACTAACGTAAGGAGAGAGCAAAAAGAATGGTCAGAGACAAGCCGAGGTCGAGGGAACGAGAGATCAGGTAAGCGAGAGACAAGCCGGGTCAAAAGGACAAGAGAGGAAAGCAGGGTCAGAATACAAGCCGAGTCAGGAACCAAAAGACAATAGAGGTAAGTGCACTGAGTGACCAGACTAGCTAGAACCACGACAGGGCAATGAATCATTCCACAGAACCCTTTTTTATACCTTGGCTCTTTAACTGTTGGCTCCGCCCCCAACGAGTCCTGATTCGTTGTTCGGCACTTGGTTGCCGTGATTGACGGGTCGGAACGTGATTGCCGTCATGACGTCGGCTACTGAGCGCCGCGTCATAAAAGGAGGCGGAGCTATCGCGGCCGGCGTGTAAACGACCGGGAGGAGTGCAAGGATCGGGTGAGTCAGCCCCCCTGGAAGGATGGACGTCTAGGTGTCTAACCTCCTCCGAGGTAGACACCAAAGGTAACCTGACAATATAACGCAGAGTGTGTATATAGTGTAGTGTGTCTATATAATTTAGTGTGTGTGTGTGTGTATAGAATGTAGTGTGTGTGTGTGTTTAATGCACACACTACACACACTGCATTATATACACACACACTGCATTATATACACACACATACTACAAACACTGCATTATACACACACACTACAAACACTGCATCATATATACACAGACACACTACATTGTATACACACACACTACACATTGTAGGCATTATATACACACACTATACAAACACACTGCATTCACTATACGCACACTACACACACTGCATTCACTATACACACACTGCGTTCGCTATACACACTAAACACTGCATTCACTTTACACACACTACATTCCCTTTATACACCACACACTACACACACACACTCTGCATTCATTATATACACACTACACAGTCACTGCATTAACTATACACACTACACAAACACACCCTGCATTCATTATATACACACTACACAAATATACACAGCTCCACTGTCTAAACACACTGCATCCAGTGCATGTGGCTTTTATATTTTGTGCATTTACCTTTTAGAAATAGTTTATTTTTTCAAAATGGTAAATGTACAGAATATCGGCAAGTTATCGGCTATCGGCCTGAAAGTTAACAGATTATCAGTATCGGTATTGGCTCTAAAAAAAATCAATATCGGTCGATCCCTACATTCCGCTCATTAAACCAGAAGACACCCATATAATGGCAAGCTTACCGCGTATCCGATAACACCAAAATAGAGTTGGTGAAATATGGCGCAATACGCTTCTCAACATGCTTTATGGTATTAGCCATTTTACAGACGTTTGCAGAGTATTTTCAATCACCTCATCTTTTTTACACAAATTGGTCAATCCACCACCCTAGACACCGATGCCCACACAGTATTGCTTGAGGTACAATAATTCTAAAAAGCTTTTTAATGTAAATATTTAACAATCCATGGGCAAAGCCCGGCTGAAATTATACAAAATATCCCACGGAGGCTGCGATAAAGTCATTTAAGGTTTTAATCTATGTTATCCTCTTTTTGGATTTAGTTTATTCCACACTGAGATGTTTGAGGTGCAATAACATTACAATTTGAATGTTTTCACTGCAGCAGGAGCGACCGACAGAGGGGCTTGGAGTGAGTTATTAGGGGATATGGGGACCAGCAATAGGGGTGATAAAATAAAAGGAGGTATTAGGCATTGGGGCGGTCAAAACCATGCTATATAATTTACATACAGACCTGCGGGGCAGTCCGCCTGCACATGGGTAACGATTGGTCACAGCAATGAAAGCCCTAATCTATGTCCCTGTGCCACTCGATAATATTCAATATAATGACACAATGGCATTAGGAGAACATCAACAATCACTGGGATGGACTAACACAAAGCTGTATTAGCTCCAAACTACATCCTCTGTGGAATCATTATGGTGGCCACAATGTGTTCCTTTGTAGGGATAAAGACTCCTTACCTGGGTTTAGATTCACATAGGTTGTGATGCTGGGAGCAATGAAGGCCACAGATAACGGACGTGTCAGGGTTTCCTCATCGTAGAAAATCTCAAACTCATCCAAGTGTGTGTGTCCAAAGAACTGTGCCGAGATGGTGCTCTCATACCTGGGGGACACACAACGAATTCAGAGCTCCAATGAGAAACCCGCAGAAACATACACATTCACTCACAATAACAAACAGAGCTAGACATTCTCACTACGCCTGTATTGTATGAGAGGTATGGCTGTATGTGCAGTAGGAGAGGGCTTATGTAGGTATGGATCCAATGGACATGGTTTGACATGCAGTTATATAATCTGAATGAAACGTGGCTCTAGATACGTAGCAATGTCTCTAGTTTATAGGTTTACATGTCATTGCTTTTTTCTGGACGGGCTATAGCTCCGCGCCTACAGACCTGTTCACGATGCGATAATAATTCCAGCTCCAGGTCTTTGCACAGATTCCCGGAGGGATGTGACCAATAATGTGAACCTGTGGATGGAAAGGACAGGTAGGTAAGTGCATCTATCACACAATTACACAAAGAGAAAAGGCCAGGACAGGCCCAGAAAAAGACTTGTCAGAGGGTGAGAATTAATTCTGGACAATGATTGGACTAGTCCATCTTGGTTCTGATACAATTTAAAAATAGGCCTATTATTCTAACTCAAATACCAGGTACAGCCAACCTGATGCACAGTATCAATATAAAAGTAATGATACAAGTAGTTAAGGTGATAAAATTTAACACATGCACAAAAGGACTATAGAGTGCTAAAACAACATGCAATAAAACGGCCATCTAAAATGTATCGTATGTGTAAATCACCATTTAGTGGATCTTCCTCAGAGCATGACAGGTTAAAAATAAATAACGGATAATAGTAGAAAACGGTTTATTTTAAGGAATCCACACACAGCAAAACGTGGGACCTTACGCAAACGAGAGCCTTCTGGCTCGATCGCCGCTTGTACTGCGCAGTGCCACTTTTATTGATACTGTGCGTCACTTGATATTTCAATGATTGGGGTTTTATTGTGATCAGCTGGTATTTGAGTTTGAATGTAAACACGTGTGATGTTTGTTGTGCTGTACACCGCGGGGACTACAGGTGGAACCAGACTGTTTGTATGAGTTTTCTGTTTTTAACTATTGTTCTAACTTCTTCCACCACACTGAGACATGATAGAGAGCGCTGTGGGAGGAACAGACAGTGAACAAGCATTAAATATCCGCGCGGAACAGGAGTTTCTGTTTCCTGTACCCGGTCGGACTGACAGGAAGGTGCACACTGAGCGTGCACCTTCCTATCACTCCGGCCGGGCACCGCGGACAGCAGAGCGGCTCGGCCACGCTACAGGGGAGGGGAGGGGAGAACCAACTGCAGCCGCCTGACCGCTCTTGACAGAGCGCTCAGGCGGCTGCAGCATTTAAAGGGCCGGCGTATAACACGCACCCATAATTTGCCCCCTATTTTCAGGGAGAAAAAGTGCGTGTTATACGCCGATAAATACGGTAAGTAATTTAAATTAAATAAAAACGTAAAAATAATAATTTAAAAAAAATATATATCTATATGAAATTTTATTCTAACTGTATTTTGATATTAAAATATATATATTTATATCAAAATACACTTAGAATGAAATTGTACATATATCTATGTATTTATAAATAAATAAAAATAATACGAAATATACATATGTCCATATACAAAATTACATAAATAATTATATAAATATACACGTAGACTTCAAATATATAAATATGCATATATATTTAAATTCTATGTGCGTATTTATGTAATATTTTACATAATTAAGTAATTTTATTGATTGCAATTTGAGGGACCTGCCTGCCCACCCAGGCCGAAAGTCCAGATAATTTAATTTGCTAGCACTGTATTTTACCCTGTAACGTTCTGTTGCAGTGTAAGCATGCAGAAGCCAAACACAGAAATATTGGACACAGGTCTTCAGGAAGTAAGAGGCCTTTATTCACATTACCGATCGGGTCTCAGATGAACTCCTGTTCCAACATTCTGAGAGACCAACACATAGTGTACATTCCTTATATAGCACTATAACTCCTCCCATTAATAGCTACACCCACATATACCTTTAACCAATCAATGAGCAGAATATAGACTTGTACATCTAGTCAAACCACATGGCTCATCCAAGACAAAGGAAATAAGTGCAATTTCAGTTCCTGCATTCCTGCACATGCTCAGTACACTGATGACAGTATCCTAGCTACATGTAGCTAACCAACTGACACAACATACACATATGCCACATGGAGATTTTGGCCTACTAAATTTTAACCATGCTGGAATCCCATCACAGTTCGACACCCTAAAACCTGTACATGGGGGGTACTGTTTTACTTGGGAGACTTCGCTGAACACAAATATTAGCGATTCAAAACAGTAAAACATATCACAGCGATGATATTGTCAGGGAAAGTGACTTTTTATTTGCATTTTTCACACACAAACAGCACTTTTACTGATGATATAATTGTTGTGATACGTTTTCCTGTTTTGAAACACTAATATTTGTGTTCAGCAAAGTCTCCCGAGTATAACAGTACCCCCCATGTACAGGTTTTATAGTGTTTTTGAAAGTTACAGGGTCAAATATATGGGTCAAATATTTTTACATTGAAAAAGGCCAGGTTGGTTACGTTGCCTTTGAGAGCGTATGGTAGCCCAGGAATGAGAATTACCCCCATGATGGCATACCATTTGCAAAAGAAGACAACCCAAGGTATTGCAAATGGGGTATGTCCAGTCTTTTTTAGTAACCACTTGGTCACAAACACTGGCCAAAATTAGAGTTCAATTTAGTTTTTTTACTTTTTTCACACA